AAAGAAAGAAAGAAAGAAAGAAAGAAGAAGAAGAAGAGAGAGAGAGAGAGAGAGAGAGAGAGAAGAAGAAGAAGAAGAAAGAAAGAAAGAAAGAAAGAAAGAAAGAAAGAAAGAAAGAAAGAAAGAAAGAAAGAAAGAAAGAAAGAAAGAAAGAAAGAAAGAGAAAAATATCTGTAATTAAAGAATCATTTAATTGGTTAATCATTTGCTGGAGCTAATACATCACTATAAACCTCACCAGCCTCAGATAGATATCTTCTATCCAAACGGGTCACAAACCACCACAACAGAGAGAAGGTGCCATTAGTCAATTGTGTGTTCAGCTCCCCCCTTTGGCCTGCCCCAAATTTAAGATGCTCCTAAAGCTGCCAGCCTTGTTCACCTGACTTGGAAATTAAAATCTGAAGAGCATTGTAAGACTGGAGGTCCACATGATATGGCAGAGAGGGACACCCTTTCTGGCTCAATGGACGGATTTGGAATTTTGAGAACATCTCATGGACTTGTCACCATAAAGACCAAGTCACAAAATAATCCCAAAGCAGAAGGTTCCCTACCACCCCATCAAGCATCCTGGGGACATTCAACCACTCCCCTTTAACTATGCCCATATTTCTAGGTAAGTGGGCACCCTTCCAAAGAGCCATTGGGTAACGCTCCCTTGCCATCTTAATTTTTCTGATTAGGGATGCCTTGGTGGGGTCCAGACCCATTCTTGTAAATGATTACATATTCCCAAGACTGTGGCTTTGTTCTGTGACATGTCAGTTTCCGACCTCGTTTTCTTTTTATTAAAAGAATCACTTTTAAAAAATGTAGCCAGCCACAGATCAGCAAACAAGCCCCTGCAAACATTTTCCAAAAAAAATAAAAAAAAATAGCATTCATCTCTAGTGTTCTCAAGAATAACCTGATCCTTTGAAATCAACAACAATTAGATATCCGCACTGATTAGCCTCCAAACCGATCATGTTTAAAGCGCCAAGAACAGGAAAGCATTTGCAGAACAAGCCTAGCCAATCACATTTGACTGCTGGATCGCTCCTGGCAACAGCCACGGCCCAAAATCTTAAACGATGATCAAGTAGATCAAATTTTGTTTCCCATTGGTTGTGATCTTAAAGGTAGCTTCCGTATACGGGTCGTACCTGGTCATCGGCTGCATTTTAAGGAGGTTTTTAACATTTTCCGTCGCTGTTTTTTACCTTTTTGACTACGCCTGCCTGTTGACATAATGGTAGTATTGGTATATTAAAAAAAGGCGACAAAGGTCATGCATTTATGGCGCAGAGGAATAAAAGAAATAGCTCTCAGAGAAGAACCGTTCCAGCAAAAATAGGTTTGAAGGCTTCTACAAGGCGTGTTTATCAGAACCACAGGGTTAGAAAGGGTGAAATGAGGTCCTGCTACTTGCTCGGTGTAGAAATCCAAATGAAAACACCCCTACCTGTCTAAGTGTGATGGAATGGACTTATGAAGGCCAGGCTCAGGGAGATAAGCA